CACCTGGTGGTCGACCTGGGTGGCAAGGCCGAGCACGTCTCGGTGGACCAGGTGAAGGCTGCTTACCTGGACCAGCCGGTGGTGCTGGCTCGACCTCCGCGACGGGGCCGCCCCCCGGCCTCGACCCCTGTCACGGATTTAAGACCTGTTGTTCCGGTCCCTCCCCTTCTGGGGGCCGCACAGGCGGAAGTCACTTTTCCGACTCCCGTGCTCAGGAGTCGTGGGGGTCGGCGTGTCGTTCCTCCCCGCCATGCTGATTTTGTTTATGTGTGAATTCTGGGGGGGCTTGTGTGGTGACACCATAATTCACCTTGCTTATTGTGTTGCCACACGGACCCTTTAGTGGGGAACACCTGAGCTTTAGCTGCCATTCCTGCTAGCTCATCAGGCAGAGCAGTTCATGTGTTAACCTCTCTGATATTAATGGATAATAAAGATTGGAACTCCATTCTTAATACACAGCCTCCGACTCTCTTTTCACGGCACTACAACATACAACTATTTTTTTAATCAATAAAAACATTTTCTAAATCCATAAAAGCATTTCAATTAATATTGGGAGTCATGTCGTTACTTTGTTGAGAATGTGGCCATGTAATAAGCGGGATAATTTGCAGCGACTTGTTCCTTATGGGGAAAATAACACTTCATGCTGATCAAGATCCCTCCGCTACGCGTTGGGATCCTGATCTGCCGACGAGGCTCCATTAAAATATAAATATTTTTAGTGAATTACTGAGTTTAGGCACGTTAATAACGTTTTAATGAAGTTGACAACAGTATATTCATATGTGTCAGTGATTTCATGTCAATTCGGTGAACATAAACATAAATGATCGTGGTGAAGATGATGATTAAATTAGGATTAAAAATCGAGAGCTGGGCTGCATTTCCTCCCGTTTTTTCGACTAAACAACATTATTTTGTTAAATAACAACATGGTGATATTTTGTGAATGATTACATGTCTCTTATTTAGCACAGAGTATGATATCCGTGACATATGGATCTTAACAAAGTTCCGCTGTACATCCAGCGTACTGTATCTGACTTTATTTCACATGAGCTCCAGTGTGGAACCCCACTGCACCCCCTGGTGGATCAATGATCCATTGCAGCTGGCTTCATAATAATTACATTTATTTATCACGGGGGAGGTCTCAAGTCAAGCTGGAGGTTTTCCCTTGAGCGAGGGCAGATCACGTACCAATCACGGCCCTCGCGTTTCAAACTGTCTGAAATGAAGCGCTACATCTGTATACGAACCGCGAGACCATTTGGTACGGCCCTCGAGGTAATTTATAAACACACGCAAAAAAGAAAAAAATTAAAGAAATCCAGACCGCAAAATAATTAACAAGCGAGTGCCTGTTTTTCCTGGCCTGGTCAGGGTCCTTGAAACACAACACGAGCCTTACGTGTCAACACGTGGTATGTCTCGTCTGACAGGGGTGTAGTGCTGACGGAGAGCACCAGAACGCCGCTCCGGCACTCCGGAGCTTTGGCTTCTCTTCTATGAATTGCAAAATTCTACACATAGGATACTCGTATTAAAGGTCACCTTTTATGTAAAATCCACTTTTTCCTGTCTCTGTGTAAGGAGATTCTGAAAGTTTCAGGAAAAAAGATTCGCTCACTTTTTGCCCATTGTGTAACCATTAGCCAATAACCAACCAACGTAGCCCCCCAGAGGGGCGTGGGGAGGGGCTCCTTATTTCCATCTAAAGCAGTGGTTCTCAAAGTGGGGGGCGCAGAGGCATGACAGGGGGGGTCGCGAGAGACCAGGAGGAAAAATGGTTATTAAAAAAAAAAAAAAAAAAAAAGATTAAAAAAACAAACAAACATATTTTGAAAAATTATTGATTCGAAAATAATATGATACAGTACTATTACGTCTGGGTCTCTGTGTTTCATTAAAGCTCGGCTCTGTGTGTGTGTGGAACGAGCCATTTTGTGTGCGTGCGCGAGCGAGAGAGAGAGAGAGAGAGAGAGAGAGAGAGAGAGAGAGAGAGAGAGAGGAGAGAGAGAGAGAGAGAGAGAGAGAGAGAGAGAGAGAGAGATAGAGAGAGAGAGAGAGAGAGAGAGAGAGCACCGGTACCAGAGATCGTTGATGTTAGCTTCTGGTGCTAGCGAGCTACGCTAACGGATATAAGGAGTTTTTTCAACAACAAAGTGGAGGAGAGTCCTCTCCTGTCAGACTGAGAGACTCAGTGAACTAAAGGACTCTCTCAGTGTTATCTCAGTGGGTCTCAAACGTTTTGGTCACCATTAATGTAAACAATTATTTCCGAGGCACACGTTTATATGATCATTATAAAAAAATAAGAGAATACATTAAACACAGGTATGAAATACTATATGACATTAAAAAATGAATAAAGTTTGAAAGGGGAGTGATTTGTAAAATATCCATAAAGAAATAGTAAATCTGTTTACAGTTCTGTGTTGAGAGATGTATCCATAGATCTCTTCATTTTGCTCTCAAAGTGCACCAGATTGATGCTTTTAAAATCTTCCCGGGGGAGCATGCCCCCGGACCACCCTATGTGAGGTCCACACACCACCTATAAAAAGCACTTGACCCCTGCGTACATTATGTATATGCGTGGGGAGTGTTGCAGTAGAACATTCCACTGTAGCGCTGGTACATTAATGGGAAACCCTAAATGTTTGAGCACCCTCTATGAAACGTCAAGCTACCCCACAGCACCCCCAAAATAAATCTCTGGCGCCGCCACTGAGCCTGACTATTTGTGTTGGGGGGGCCCGACTTTTTTTTTTCTCCAAAGCGGGGGCCTGACAGAAAAAGTTTGAGAACCACTGATCTAAAGTAACAGACAGAGAATTAGCACTTTGGAAAAAGGGCTGAAAAGGGGGGTTTATGGGATGCAACAATGCATGATCTGTTTGGTATTTCGAGGTCAAACACTTCACAGACATGTTTTGTATTTGTATATACCTGAGACCTATACTAAAGTAATGAAAAACAGTATAATAGGGGACCTTTAAGTATCATATTTGAGCTCTCTTCCTATTAATTTCCAATTCAATTTTTTAAATGTGTTTCAATTAATGGCACAATTCATTTGTTTTTGTTTTATATGGAAACCATTTATTTGTTAACTTCATATTTTTCATTTCCTAAAACATTATTTTCCTCTCATATTAACAGTGTGGATCATTGAGACAGCGTGGCGTCCAGAGTCTTATCCCGTTTCCCACTTCCTCTGAGGGGACAGCATTAGATCCTAGGAGGGGGGGCATGAAGAAAGACCTGCACCAGCTTCATCCACGCTGGCGTTGCTGTTATCACTGGCTCAGTGTCATTTCATTTGACCAAATGTCTTTACATATACATTTAATAGATTTTATTATTATCCACCTTTTTGTTTTATGTCCTTTTATTTCAAACATTCTTTGAGACTTCATCTTCTGGTTCAAATTTCAATAAATGTAATTTGTATAATCACTCTTTTGTCTTTATTCTACATGAAAATGTTAGAGATTCCATTCAAATCTGTTGATTATTCATATCTTCCTCAGGCTAGGAATAGTAGGCCTATGTCGAATTTTTAATGCTAAATGTATATCATTTTCTCACAGGATATAGAATGAGACAACACAGTTGTTATCCATTGTGTATGAATGCTTCAGCTCTTCAGACCAACATAGTAAGATGTGAGCATGGTCCTAAATATGCAGCCTAGGTCTGGTCTGTTTCATAAAGCAAATCTGCCACTTTTATATTGTAGAATTTGTTAAATGAAAGCCGTCTTTAATTGTTTGTCCTAAACATAGCAATATATGCTTTTGAAATGTAACATGTCTTTGAAAAAATAACAGTATACAGTTTATATTGTGTATCACCTTTAGCTTGAAAATACATAGATGTGTTTTTTATCTGTAAAATAAATAGATAGACAGACCGACACTTTATCGATCACAAATTGGGAAATTATTTTGTTATAGCAGCAGTGTGCATCAGGCGCAGTCGGGACCCAGCCAGCCTAAGTCACATGTTTTGGCTCTGTCCAAAATTGACCCTGTTCTGGACTGGTATATTTAGAACCTTTTTGTATATGTGTAATACGGATATTGACTGCATTATTTGGCATGGTCCCAAAGGAGACATGAATAACAACTGCTCAAGCTGAGGCTGTGGCGTTCTCTACCTTACTTGCTAGATGTCTGCTACTCCTTAGTTTGAAGAAGGCTGCACCACCATCTCATAAGCGCTGGGAGGAAATAATGTCCCATCTTAAGCTTGAACAGCTAAAGCACGCTGCCTGGGGCTCTATCCAGAAGTATTATAACGTCTGGCAACCATTTTTGTCCTATTTTGGCAACCCTCTGTTTTTAATATGTGCTATATAAATAAAGTGCATTGGATTGGATATTTTGAGATTGAGTTATCTGCCATTAATACAATGTTGTACAATGACAATTCAATACAAATATTTGAATAATAGAAGAAGAATAAGAGAACATTATTCCAAAAAACCTGATCCTGCTCACCCTGTTGACCAGCTGGCTGCACATTATCACTTATTCAACAAAGGCTAACTGCAGGTAAATCCACTTTAATAGCAGGGTCTGTTTGGATGTTTTGAAGTATGAAACATTATAGCCCAGTAGTTACACGTTTGCAATTGATTGCTTAATGGGGAGAATTATTGGATGTAAGTTTAAGATTTATAACCAATAATTGAACATCTTGGTGCATCTGGGGGGACATTTACGAAGTTATGACAAAACATGGTGACGACAAAATATTAGGTGATTCAGTTATAAAATGTAATATGCAGCATGTATAAATGATCTATCCATTTGGATTAATAAATGCATTGAATGTTTATGGATGATGACGACTTATATCCTTCTACTCTGTCAATTATCAACTACGGATAAATGATGTACATAGTCTTAGAATCTAACTATGTTGAATTCAACAAGTGTAGACATTCTATGTTAAGAAGGCATATTTATTACTTATTGACTTACCCTAAACTTGTTGTTCTGATCCATCTCCCTTTGGACTTTGAGCATCTCCTCCCTGGTTTTCTTCATCTCTGTAGTAGCTTTTTCAATGCTAGCTTTTATTTCATCAATATTCAGAAATGCAGTTATTGTATCTTTTAGTTTTTGTTCAACCTCTTCTCTGAGTTTCTGTATCTTTATCTTCGTGACATCCAGCTCATCTCTTTCTTTATTTGTCTTCTCCAGCTGTTGGTCAAGCTGTCTTTGTTTTTGTTTTTTATTGAAAATGCATCCATTGGATTTTCCTCTCTTCTGTAGAGTCTGCCCTGCTTCGCTCTGTATCTTCTCTTACCCCACACAGCCTCTTTCTGATTTCTTCTCCTTCAAGAATCACTCTCTTCATGTCAGTATTCACTTCCTGTGTTATGTCTGTGGTTCTGTCAGCCAGAGGAAGTTGTTTCTTCTGCTCATCAGATGTGTCCTCCACGTTCACCTGCTCCTTAGTCTTATATTGTCCTTCCTGCATGTCTTGTTTAGCAGGCTCAGCCTCTTCCATCATGCTGCTGAACTCTTTATTATCTCTTGCTCATTCTTATCCTTTTTACTAGCTCCTTTTTCTTTATTTCAATCTCAGTGTTCAACTCTTCCTTCTCTCTTATTTCTTTCTTTGTCCTTTGTAACTTGTCATCCAGCTCCTGCATTTGCCTTTCAGTACTCTCCCTCACACACGTCAATGCAATCATTTCGGCTCTAGCTATCTGCCTCTCTCTCTCAATGTCCTCTCTCTCAGTTTGTATGTTAGTCTTGATTTGATCAATATCATCCTTTTCAGATTTGGCCCATGCCAACTTGTCACATGGAATGTTTGCCATTTGACTGCTCTCTGTCTTCAGCTCCTGCTCCTCTGTTAAAGTCACCTCCAGCTCATCCGAAAGCTTCTTCATCTCCTTCTGGAATCTGCAGAGGTGAATCTTCACAATGCCAAATGTGTGTCTTCCTTCTTTGTGCCTCATCTCTGGGACTGTGGCTTCCTGCAGCTCAACTCTCTCAGTTCTTTGAATGTCTGCCCACCTTCTCTTCATCGTGTTCATTTTCAAATGTATATTATGTTTGATGTGCTCAAGTTGATGAGAATTATTATTTTTTAATAATAATCAACTCTTGCTTTATGTCTGAAATGATGTTCTCCATATGTTCTTTTTCCTGCTTTGTTTCAAGCATTACTTTGTTATTTTTGTTGATGAGGCTGAGCAGACTGTCTGTTATCTCCTGCTTCCTTTCTATCTGTTCCATGGCTTCTTTTAGATCAATACTTTGTTGTGTTGTCTTATCACCCTTGATCATTTCTAACTCATGTCGCTCATTGATGAGCTCATTACGTCTTTTTTCCAGGGTCTCTTTTTCTCTATATATTTCAGTTCTCATTTTAAGAAGTAGCAATTTTTCTTGAGCCGCTTCATTTTTATCCTCTTCAAGTTTCTCAAAATGATTTTCTATCTGTGATCTCAGTTTATTTATGAATATATGCTGCTTTTGATTTTCAGTTCTCAGTCTGACGATGTCCTCCTGTTGCTGCTCTGCTTTTTTCTCCAGGTAGTCAGTTTCATTTATTTCTCTTTGTGCCTCTTCCCAAAGTTGTTCAATCTTCCCCATTACTTCCAATGTCAATTGTCTTTGTCTTTTAATAATCTCCATTTTGGTTTTCATGTCCACTATGGTTTGTTCATCTTCTAATTGCTTACAGTTTTCCATTGTCCACTTCTGTTCTGTTTGCTCATCCAAATCTTCTGTTGCTTTGCTCTGTCAGTCAAGAAAATGGACAGAATATTACTCAACACTGCATCCTATATTGTGTCAAACCTAGTCACAGAAACTCTCCTCTCCAATTGGACAACAAATGAGATGGTCAAAGTACAGAGTCATTTAAGAAAGAGTATCTATGTCTTCTTTGGTGACACAGGTGTTTGTTCACAACAGAATGACACATTTAGCATCACAACAAGCTCATTTTCTGTTTAGCAGGCCACTCCTCTCACACTGGCCAGAACATTACAATTCAATAATTCTTATTATCAGTTGTTGTTTCTTCTGCCTTTGCTCTCTTCTTTGAATACTCTTTTTACCATTTCTTTCAGTTTTCAGAGTATATTTTCATGTAAAACATGTGGAAGTTGACATGACAGCAGGTTAACGTGATGGTAATGTGGTAAATGTGTTTTTTACACAATAAACCATGTTTTGCTTGTCAAAGTAAATGTTAACATGTCAGGTATGATAACTGTGGTGTCACAGTAAATCTATTCAGGTCTGAAAATATATATCATATTATTCATATTATTATATTATTTAGCAAGGTGTAAAACCATGTCAATAATTTAGCCAAAGATTAGCATGAATGACTAAATTAGACCGTTTTTATTCCAAAAAGTGGCTGTTGGGCAAAGTGAATCAGTGGTTCAACGTAATCCCCCCTGAGGCACTGAAGTTAAGTTAACTCACTAACTAAATGTAGTTTTACACCACTGATGTGTTTTTTATGTTTTAAACATTGTACAAAAGCTATCATGCCAAGAAAGTCCAAAATAAATACTGAGGAGATGGAGAGAGCCACTGATGGCAAGGCTGGAAAATCCATCAGAGCAGTGGCAAAAGACAGAAATATCGACAGCCTGCATAAAGACTTAAACGGGAAGGGGGAAAGGAAATTAAAAAAGTAGGTACAGTTGAACAGCAGAGGAAAGAGGGTCTTCACACAGGAGAGAGAAGGAAACATTTTTAATTGGCTGACCAGTTCCATGGTCTTACTCCAGAGAATAGCTGTGAACTGGCCTTTAAATTACAGACAGAAACAACATTCCTGTACCAAACAACTCGGGTTTAAAGTTGATAAAGTCAATTGTTCAATGTACTACCTTGTCTCGGATCAATGTATGATGGGGCAAGTTAAGCCAGAAGACAATTTTTTTTTAGAAGTCATATTTTCATGGCCCTTTGTGATAGATGCATTATTCTCAGTTTGATTGACAGAAGACATCCTGAAGTAAAGGTTTTTCCTTTCCTAGAGGACAACCAGGTCTGGCACCTAAAAAATTGCAGTACCAGTACCCATAATGAGCCGTACACAAGCCGCATTTTTTGCGTGGCTGTGTCTTTAGTTGAAAGCCCAACCCCTGAGGGCAACATGTTTAAAATTGGCTCATCTTACCACACTCTCCCATACCATGGTTTCCAAATATATATGTACATATCCACATACACATTTAAAACTGGTGTTTCCCATATGATCACAAATTTGACTGGAATTATATAAATTTGAACAATTCTGGTAAACTAGCACAATGAACAATATAACTAACATATTAAAATATTTTGTTTACCTCATGTCTCTTTGGTCCAGAGAAAAGCTGGTATTTTGGAAGGTCTGCTTAGATGTTCTGGTCGGTGCATATCTGAACCTGAACAGTGTTGATCTCTTCAGCACCACCACCAGTTCTGATGTGACACCCTGTGGTGTGTGATTGGGTGGTACGAGATGTTTGGGTGGGGAAACAGTCTGCTATGAGCTGATAAGGGTGGGGTCCATGTTTGGATTGGTGGGTCCGCCTGATGTTTATTAGCAATGAGTTATCGCTATGAACACATATGGCACTTCCTCCCAAACAAGTATTATTTAAATATGGCAGAAAATAACATCATTAGAATGTATTCCATTAACTATTATGGATAAGATAATATTATATGCAACAATCTTGGTTGTCAACCATGCATCAGAATCACAAAAACACATGACTACACTGCACATGAAATGAGGGGACACTGGGCAAAGGTGAGACATGTTCACTCTTTTGGGACTGTATTTGCAAGTTGTGTAAAGGGCCCACTTCTGAGAAACATGACAAACATTTGTAACTACTCCCTTTCTGTGCACAAAGATAACTCCAAAGCTAACCCAAAACACGACCTCAGATAAAAGATAACTGTAACAAAGTCATCTTTTATCTGAGGTTGTGTTTTGGGTCAGAGAGCATACATTTTAGGGGACAATGAATGATAGATTAAATGTATATATTTCCTTAAATGTACACATAAAGCAAATTGACTTGAGGTCATTTAGGTGCTTTTACTTAGAAAGTTAACCTGTTTAGCCCTGGGCCTGTTTTTCACGTCTCAGGCTCGAAAATGACATTCCCAGAACAAATGACCATATCTTCACTTCTAAAAGGGTTAAATTAATAATCTTTTTTCTCAAAGCAAGGTTACATCTGTGAGTTGGATGTAGAAGTGTCAGAATCAATATAGATGTTTTAAAGTAAATTCAGGTTGAACATAGTAAAAAAAATGTAAATGATAGTGTCTGTCCAAAAGAAAAATGACTTATAGTGAAAACCACCCTTGAATGATGGGATAGTAGACTAAAAGCTTTAGGAATCCAAACTATAACATATAATAAGTACCCTGTATCAAGATTGATGCAAAACAAGTGAAATTTGATATTTTTAGAGAGTTTTAGGCTTAGCCAGAATGCCCCGGAACCGGAAGCTGCAATACACTGGTGGCTACTGTCACTACCCGATCCGCATGCCTACCCGATCCGCACTGCGCATGTGCGAGATGGTCCGCCATATTGGACAACTCCATACGGCAACTCAAATAGGACATTTATATAGAGATATATATAGAGATTTCAAAGGTATTTTATTTTGAAACTGTACATCAGAATGTCCTGATTTTTTCTGAGTGACTAGATGGGGTGTCCTGCTATCACCCTGAAGTGATATTAGTATTTGATACTGGACAGTTTTGGTTTTATTATCATCTAAAAACAGAGGGATGATAGCTCATATATGAGACTTCAAAGGTATTTTATTTTGAAACTGTACATCAGATTGTCCTGATTTTCTCTGAGTGACTATATGGGGTGTCCTGCTATCACCCTGAAGTGAAATAAGTATTTGATACTGGAGGGGTTTTGTTTTATTCTTATCTAAAAACAGAGGGATGATAGCTCATATATGAGACTTCAAAGGTCTTTTATTTTAAAACTCTCTACATTTTACATTCACTCAGTTATAATGTGGTAGTTATACGTAGTTTGTCTTACATTATTATTGACCACATTAGGCCTATATAGTACATATTTTAATATGTTTGGTATAATTGTTATTGACCGAGTAAGCACTTTTATTTTGAAGGCAGTTTTTGCAGGCCGCTACCGTAATGCATAGGATATTCGCGCACCGCAAAACAACGCGGATGCTGGCTTGACTGTGTTTTCCGAAGTGGAGGCTGGCTTGACCGCAGTCTCTCTGGGGCTGTGACGTGAGGTTCCGCCGTCATTAAACATTGATTTTAATTTCTTACAACATGAAGCTAGAAGCTACCTTATAGTAGGCTACACAGTTTATCCTGAGTCCTGTCAGTTAAAGTGTTTCATAGTTAGCTTAGCTAAGCATCAACCTAGCATTAAAATATATGGATGTTATGTGACAGTATTTCTGAGAAAAAGTCAGCTGAAATGGTGGCATAGTTGCCACTGCTTTACGTGTTGACATTAGGCTTGTTTGAGACAAGCAAGACCTGCGCAGACCTGCGCAGACCTGCGCAGTTGCGATCAACGTCTTGCTAGTGCGTTGCATGATGGTTAGTCATTTTGTCCGACTTGCTCTGGAGGCCCGCCCACATGAGACGTTGAAATCTCGCGGGACAAAGACGCCCGCAGCCTTGAGAGCGAGGCGAGGCGAGTTGGCGCAGTTGCTCTCCACGGGCTGCGGAAGCGAAATGCTTGATGGGAAACGGCTCGCTGGTATCTCGAGCTGAGCGCTCATTTGTGGTTTTTACCACGTGCTGCTGATGAAACTCTCCAATTGGCTGGCAAAAGTTTGTGTCAGTTTTACGTCGCCACATCCATTCCCATTTTTCATCATTGTTCCACAATGTTTATCATCATGAAATTAATATCTATATATTTTATACTATACTTGCACTGCTTACCGTTTTCATACTTTATATATCTTAGCATATTCATACACACTGTTCATACTGCTCTCAGGCTGCTGTGTATATCTAGTGTATTCATACCCCTCACTGTTTATTCATCATTCAATTCATTCTATATTTTATTCTGTAGATTGTGTACATTACTTTTCACTTTACTGCTTGTTGCACCTGGTTAGAAGCTAAACTGCATTTCGTTGTCTCAGTACCTGTAATATGTGCAATAACAATAAAGTTGAATCTAATCTTGAGCAGGAACAAATGTATTTACTTAGTACATATCTGACATTAACGATTAAACACATGTGTGCATTCTTTATAAATGCAAACCGAGTCAAGCCGACTCCGGAGGTGGCGGTATGCACCTTAAAGTTGTTTGCAATCCGCCAAAAAACCGAGAGAAGAAGAAGAAGAAGACGAAGCCGACTCCGAGCTGTCCGACTTCAGGCGAGCTTTTTGAGACCTCCCCCGGCTGCGATCGGCTACTCTCGTCTACTTTCGAGGCGAGCCGCAACGCGTCTCAAACAAGCCTAGCATGTTTGAACATATTTGCAGCAGTAAATGTGGCTGTTTGGCCACTGACGTTGCCATAACTATGGAAGCAAACAAGAGACAGAAGTATTTGAATTGTATTAGACACCGAATTTATAGCATTGAAAATAATTACTTTGAAAATCATGTATCTGAATGTTTTTGCTCCGAATTTACCTATGTGAAATAAAAATGTAAAAATTCAAGTGAAAAAAATTCGAATGTTCAAATTCAGATCCCAAAAATTCAAGTGAAAAAAAATTCGACGTCAAAAAATTCGGTGTATAAAATTCGATGTCCAAAATTGCGATGCAGCATCATCCGGGCTACTCAGACAGGATAAGCAATCGAGCCCTAATGCAATCAAACCGACTTCTGGCCTATCAGAGCACGGCTTTGTCCGTCATGTGATCACAACAACCCGGGAGAAAAATGACGGAGAACAGCGGGGCTCGCCGCTCGGGTAAGTTTGTGCTCTTTATTTTACAAGCAGTGAGGGCTCTACAGCATTTGTATCTTACATTAGCTAGCTAAATGAGTGAAGTAGCCTTGTGCCTTGCTGTTAGCAAGCTCCGTAGTTATCATTAATTGAAGTGAATCACAACGTTACCCTGTCCTTTGTGTGTGTGTGTGTGTGGTGGTGGGGGGTGACGGTTTGCAAAGTAACGTAACGATCACTTCGGTTAGATAAGTCAAGTAGACCATGCTACACTATACGGAATACTCTCTTACAAAAGCCCTGCATTTAAACATGTTAATGTTACTTTAGTAAAAGTATGCTAGTATAATTAGGAAAGTGTTGTTAAAGTATTTAAAGTAGACACAAGTTATACTATTATATATCATTTGATTTATTGTTATTACCGATGCACGAGTTGACTTAACTGTTGTAGTTGGAGCTCATTTTGAACAATGAGCTAACTAATTATTACTTTCATAATGGTGTAATGTGCTGACTATTTTCTACATTAATAGATGAAGGTCTGGTTTGTTCAAAGTCTCAAACTAGTAGGACCAGAGCCCGAGAGACTCTAGGGCTCTGAGTAGGACATGCTGTCATAATTACCCAGAGTCCGAAGTGACACCTTTACAATGTTAAAGCTGTTGGATAAATGTAGTGACGTAAAAACTAAAGTATTCAAGATAGTGTAGTGGAAAAGAGATAATGTTTTTTTTTTTTAAAGTTACCAAAACAAAATCTCTTGTTTTGGGCTGACAGTAATGATTCAAGAAATAGTAGATAAATAAATACACACACACATCAATTTGTTGTGGATGGAACACAACAAATGGTGCTCTTACCTGTGATGCCTCCTCCAAACATTATAACCAGACTGTATCATTCAAACTATAAGTAACAGTTCTAGCTACTTGACTTTAGACAAACAATTCAAAAGACAAAATCAACACAATTTATTGAAAGACCAATCTTTATTTCTCTCCTTTTGTTTGCATTATTAAACCCTGTCAATCTAAAAAAACTGAGCAACTCAACAGTTAACTTTATATTTCTTATTGTCCAAAGCATCTATTACACTATTTGTTCCCCTCTCATATTCACAGGATGGATGATTAGAGACTTTGGGGGAGACCTCAGATTTATGAACGTCCTGTCTGTTGGTTTGGCCAGAGAGGGCTGAGGGTCTTTCCCTGTGAGGAGTCCTCCTCGCAGGGAAAGACTCTGCAGGCCTGAGGGAGGAGGACCAGACCTGATGGAGGAGGACTTGCACCAGCTGCACCTACAGAACTTAGCCCATGCTGGGCATAGCTGTTACCACCTGCACAGGCCTAGCCTGTCAATTAACAGATTAACATTGAGTGTAACTTATGTATATTATTTCGTTTTTATTTTTAAAAAAAATGGTGATGGTTCATGCTTGATAACTTTTAGTTCACATTTCAATAAATTGTATTTGCACTCCTTTTGTCCGTTATTCTTACTGAAAATGTTAAATTACACATTCACATCTGACTGAAGATTGGCACCA